TTTGGCAGGGGAGTGTTCGGGGAGCGCATCTGCCAACGAAAACTCATCAGACATCTTCTTTCACTTGTTCTTTGCCTTTTCCACACAGGAAGACAGCAGCTACTCTTCTGCCTTTGATCACCTTACTACTTCGCAGTAATTCACTTTCGCCCTTCACTGCTTTCTAAGAAACCAAGGAAACGGTCATATGTTGGTCAAAACTTTTCTTCACAAATTCCCCTTTGTAAAAGGTTATATTTTTTAACATGGTATTTTTTTGGTACTAAGATGTCTAAATTGTGTGTGGCTTATTAAATTTCTCCCTACATGATGCTTCTGGATTTTGTGATGTATGGGCAGAGGTCTCCACTCCAAGACCTTCTTAAAAACTGACTTGCTTTCTTATAGTATGTTTATGGTTTGAGTTCCCATTTACACACTGTTCCACTCTTCTGAACAAGAGTCACCAGATCACCCAGCTTTTGTTCAGTAGCCGGCCAGCTATCTTTAACATCATGCTGCCAATGACAACCACGATTTACCCAAGGTTTACTGTGGAACAGGCATGTTTTCCATGATGCCAGTTCCATTATCACCCGAGTTTGCAGCTGGCGAAAGGAAGCTCAGCAAGTTAACTGGTTTACAGACGTAGGGCGGTGACACGTGGCGCAGGCCCAAACCCGGCCAGCCTCTTGCATGCAGGCTACGGAGCCTTTTCCACCGCACTGCAGACTGCACACTTCATGCCCATCTGCACAATGCTTCAGCTGAATTACAGCACCTTTATTTAAAAAGTATCTTAGTACTTGGGAGGCTGAGACAGGACTGGTGGGGAGTCTGAGGCCAGCCTGGGCTACACAGTGAACTCAAGGTCAGCCTGAATTTCAAGGTGAGACTCTTGTCTTTTTCTTTGGTGGAATCGGGGATTGAACTCAGGCCCTTGTGCTTGTAAGTGCTTATTCTACTGAGCCATCTCCCTGGCCCTGAGACTCTGTCTTAAAAAATCAAAAACAAAAAGAAAAAACTTTCAATAGCTAACGAGGCAATCTCAGTTTTTCTTTTGACTCATCATTATATGAAGACTTACTAAAACTGAGCCATCTTTGAATTCCTACAAACTTTCTTTATAAAAAATTTTATTTATGACTTATCAAGAGGAATAATGCAGAAAAAGGACATAAATCTCAGATACCAATTGCTATACCCTCACTTCTTATTCAGACTGTAAAGACTCATCTCAAATGTACAGGGCATACAGTTATCCCTTCCTTTATATAAAAAAAAATATTTATTTATTTGTTATAGGGTCTCACTATGCAGTTTAGACTTGCAGTGATCTTCCCGTCTCAGCCTCCCCAGCACTGGGATTACAGGCATGCCCAGGGTTCTGGGGCCCCACGGCTGGTTCAGTATGCGGTATCAGGGATCAAACCTAGTTCCTTGTGTTCACCAGGCAGGCGCTTGGACAGCTGAGCTATCTCCCCATCTTATCCCTTCACTTCAATATTGACATTTTACACTAAATCATCACATCAGTAAGGAGCACTCTTAAAAATCAGCGCTAAATTAATGTTTGTGTACTGACTTCTTGAAATGGATATGATTATGTATGGCAAATGCACTAATAAACATTTTTTAAAAATTTAAAAACAGTGGCCGGGGAGATAGCTCAGTAGAATAAGGGCTTGCCTGGCAAGTGCAAGATCCTGAGTTCAATCCCC